TTTTTAGTAGAGACTTTATGCTTGAACGTCCTGTCGTAATCTTGCAACAACGATAATTCCATATGTAGCTGTAATTTATCCGCTGATGACTTTAAGACTGGAGAGTTAAAAACGATGAAACAGACTTTTGGGTTACCCGTATCTTGTCATTGTTTAAATCAGTTCTTTCCTTCCTCAGGGCTAAACAACTTGGAATTCAAATCTGATGAATTATATTTTTTCTGAGTGTTAACGAAGGGTAGACTGTGTAAACAAGCGAATATACTGTATTTTTATTATTGTAATCAATGCGGAACAAATGTTCAATTCTTTGAAGCTACTTAGTCAAGTTTGCGACCTTAGCGTCTCGCCTTCTTCATGCTAGCTATAAACTCTTCGTATCTTTTTAGCTCATCACGGGTCAGCTCTGAAAACAAGTACTTTTCTATCCACGTGATCCTATACTCAGCTTCTTTGATTCCCATATGCATGGCGTTAAGATCACAACCATCGCAACTGCTTTTTGAAAATTTCTGATTTGAACTACAAATAATAAGTGACAAATGCTGTAAAAGGTATGAAAGAGTTAGAAAATTTTCCAGTGGAGTGAATGTATACAAAGGCGAAGAGAATCAAAGTATGTGAGCTTTAAGCCTACAAACTCCTTTGAAATATGTTGTAGAGCCATCCCTTATTGGAACTTGCTCACTCACTATAGGTTAGGTCGATATGGTCTCTGTGGTTGCGGCGTACCCGCCGCACTTTGATATATTTGTGTGTGTTGTTCTCTAGTTATTCCTAGTGAACCCTCGACATGTACGCCGATAGGCAGAGGGGGAACTCTTGTGTTTTTCTAATAAATCGTCAACGACTCAACGCGTTCTACTACAAAATACCTACTGAAGATTGTGAATATTTTGATAATCTCAAGGAATTACCGGAAATTTCGATATCCTAAGATTTCACTTATTTCTACTAAGACACTTTCTACTTAGACATCTTTAGCAGTGCCATAGTATATCCACAGTACAATTTTATAGCGTTCATTGAGTTTCCAGGGAGATAAATGGCATTGAAACGAGAGGTGATCATTACACAAAATATTGAAAATCTAGTCAGTTATGCCAGTAACTTGGCATCAATTATGCGCAGGTATTAGGGCATGAGAACCTTTATAAGCAAGATAGGGAAGGAAGAAGAAAGATATTTAGAGTAGCGAGATATGACTCTTCCCCTCTCAGATCCCTCCCCTGCCCAGCGGAGATGTACGTGCATACGGGCAAGAGTAGATTTAGCAAATAGTTAACAACCCTCCTACCACAATCATAAATTGTTCTCAAAATCTTTGCACAAGACGATTATTACTTTATGATATGACCTTTATACTAGGTTGTCCCAAAAGTAAACTCCATTTTCAAATATATTGAGCTGTTTTGTTTTCTCAACAAGTTTAGGGTATCATTCGAAGGCGAATCAAAGTCTACAAAGAAGCCACCATGGATCCATCTAAGTCGTAATCTGAGCACAATTGGAGCCAAAATCAAATTTTTCAGTTACTCTAAAAATCGGATCTACTCTAAGAAAATTCCTACGGACTTCCAACTTGGTCTGTATATAATAGACACATAGTAGTTACCAAAAATTTTGGTGGATTTCTTCCGGGGTTTAGAATTGAGAAATAAAAGTGGTCCAAAATTGTCAAAAAATGCCTCTTTTTGGGTTTTTTATGTAAAAATTGATATTTCTCGATCTTAAGAGCCGCACAGGGGCAAAATTTTGAGATTATAATAAGTAAGGCTTGTAGTATACAATGACATATGTGGGAGGGGCTGGGGGCGAAGTTTGCATTTTGAAGCTATCTTTAACACGTTTCGGACCGGTACTGCACATGGTGCAGCACGCGTTTTTGAAGGATCATTTAGTAAAATCTGGGCCCAATAGATATTCTCTTTACTAGCAGGCGATATAAAGTCGTAATAATATGATTTACTAGACAAAGTACGTGAAGACACGGAAGAAACAGCAGAGGTTGATGCACGACGATCTGTGCGTGAGCGTACCGCTCTGCAGTTGGAGGTTCCGAGATCTCTCCTTCTTCCTCCTCGCGCCATCCTCTTGTACGCGGGTCGGCGTGCTATCAGCGTCATCTCCGCTGCCTTCTGTAAACACCCGCAATAATAAAGGGACTCTTACAATTTTGACGTTTGCAGGAGATTTTCTTTTAGGTCAATCTCATCAGGACAAAGGCCTATGCTTCTACTTTTCGAATGGCTCCGTAGAGTTGTGCCGCCGATATTTGTTTAGGAGATTTGAGGTCAAACAGAACAACGGTTGTAACGAAGTGCGGCAACGCGAACGACGCGTGCGACGTCGCAACTTATCTTTGCTTCGAAATCAAAGAGAAAAACTGTAGTTTCAATACTGATGTATACCGTGTACAACATAGGTACTTTTGGATATTATTAGAAATTGTGTATTCGTTCCTATCTTTCAGGAAAGCACAGAAGTCCTTCACAAGCGACAAAGTTTAAACACTTTTTGGGTATGGAACTTATCTGAAGAGTTGATTATAGATGTATTAGGTTGTCCGGAAATTAATGCCCGTTTTGAATTTCAACCGCAATAAGTCATGAACTTCTCATTTCTAAATAGGTTGAAAATTACCATTCGATAGAGCAAAGCAAGCTCTGCAAGATGACAATTTTGCTTTTGCAACAGCTCTCTTTACCTCGAGTTTTGAGCCAAACCAAAAAGACACAGCAGCCCGAAAAATCGAAAAAAATCGTAACTCAGTTTATAAAAATCCTACAAAAATTCTAACTTGCTCACGTAAACACTATCCACATAAAACATCTTTATACGCCTTTGCCGTATTTTTTTCTCTGTTAAAAATCAAGAAAACGGAAATTTTCATGCTTCTGCCAAAGTGGTGCCGTGTCGTTCCCACATAAGTAGATGTGTACTACTAATCTGTACAAGTACAAACGTAAATTTTTAGCTTTTGACAAGCTTTAGTTCTCGAGAAATATCGAATATAGCTTTTACTGGTCAGGTGGTCCAAGCTAAAATTCGAATTTCTCGAGAACTAGAGCTTGTAAAAAGCTGAAAATTTACCTTTGTACTTCTACAGATTAGTAGTACACATCTACTTATGTGGGAACGACACAGCACCACTTTGGCAAAAGCATGAAAATTTCCGTTTTCTTGATTTCTAACAGAGAAAAAAATACGGCAAAGGCGTATAAAGATGTTTTATGTGGATAGTGTTTACGTGAGCAAGTTAGAATTTTTGTAGGATTTTTATGAACTGAGTTACGATTTTTTTTTCGATTTTTTGGGCTGCTGAGTCTTTTTAGTTTTTGGCTCGAAACTCGAGGAGGAGAGAGCTGTTGCAAAGCAAAATTGCCATCTTGTAGAGCTTGCTTTGCTCTATCGAATGGTACTTTGCAACCTATTCAGAAGTGAGAAGTGTATGACTTATTGCGGTTGAAATTCAAAACGGGCATTAATTTCCGGACAACCTAATAGCACACAGCCTACGAAATAAGGTCCCTTTGTTGGCCAATGGCTGAAAGTGCACTCTTTTTCGCCGCGCGCGATTTCGCGGTCCGAAACGTTTTAATATCTCGCCTTATGCGCAAAAAAAATCAAGTAAAGGCATAATTGAGTACCACTGCTCAGACACACGCTGGGCAGCGCGCTCCGTACGCGCGCCGGCGCTCATATTCCCGCCGCCGGCCGTCAAACGGCGCGCGTCGCGCGCTAATGGCACGCCGCTCGCACTGTACAAACAAATGCCATTCTCATTTGAAGCAGTAAATCACGGTGAACCGTAGTAGACCTGATCACAACCTTTCACCTTCAGGCAAAAAATCAAAGTTGGATTTTAAATTTTCATATGGACCTAAAATTTCTAAACTTTAAATTTGAAAATTTAAACATCTCAAATTTCCAAATTTTGATCCAAACTCAGCACCTACTCGCAGTGCTTTTGGGGACTAACTCTCAGTGGAAGAACCCCGCTTCTGTTAAGACAACTCCACAGAAGCAGCGATAACCTCATTGAATTAGCGATGAAGCACACAAAACACTGCGTCGTACTTCACGCGGGTGTTGCTTTTGCTTACAGCGTGTGAGAATGCAGAAGACATCATGGCACTCCGCTCACTGATAAATTGCACGCCGCTGCAGCCTCAACTAGGGCGCGCCGCTCGCACTTCAGCGCTGTTATGGCGCGCGCGCCGCCGCACCGAGCGTCCGAGTAAGTGCGCCGCCGGCCGTAATACGGCGCGGTGCTCGCAGCTACGAAGGTGCACCGCTCGCACTGCAGCCTCAACTATGACGAGCCGTTCGCACTGCATCTTCAACCAAAGCGCGCGCTCGCAAGGCAGCCTCAAATAGGGTGCGCCGCTCGCACTGTAACGTTATTATGGCGCACGCGCGGCCGCAGCGAGTGTCTGAGTATGGTCACTGTAATGACCAAACTGGAGGTTCGTAGCGTTTTTTCACGCAAAAATATTTCCAGGTGACAAAATTTTTTGCGATTTTGACTACAAATTTCACATGAAAGGCAACTTAGGCAGACTCTTGGTGGTCGTTTTGTAGAGCTTGATCTGCTCTATCGACTAGGAAAGCAAGAACTGCTTGAATTATTCAAAAAGATATTTTTGGTATGACCTAATAGATTGAACGTTTCATTCCATCTTGCAATGAAGTTTGTTCTCGCAAGCCAAGTAAAAATTTCTAATGTCGATTTGCTATCCACTGAAAGCTAGGCTCAAATCTCGAGAATTATAATTGTTCAAATAGCCTCGTCGTAAACGTACCTCTCATGGTCGTAATGACAACAATTAAGAACACATATCTCATAATTGCTCATGGTGGCAGGAAAGTGCTTGATGGCTAACTGTCTAACTGTTTATTCATTGATAACGTGCTTGAAAAATAGGAAGTTCGATTTCATTAAATTTGAAGTCCCTTGAGCTACAGTATTGTGATTCACACAAGCATAAACACGGACAATTTTATTGCTCACTCTGATACAAAACGAATGTTAATCTTCTTGGCCACTTTTAGAAGTCGGCTTATTATTGTTTAGCGAAGGGAATCTAGCTCCGATTGGGCCAATTCGGAAACTTTTTTTGAGTATCTTTCTATCCACTGGATTCTATGCTCCACCTGCTCCAATCCCATATGTATGGCGTTGTGATCGCAACCGTTGCAGCCGCTTTTTTGAAAGGCTTTGATCTAAAATAATATTAATCTTGGACAGAAGTTACAAAAAGGTGTGAAAAAGTTTACAGAAATAAAACCTTTTTCCATATCTTTTTTTTTTGAAAAATGTGTATCCGGTCAACAAGGATTAATTTTTGTAATCTTTGTGTCCTTTTTTCTTAAAAGTGCATTACTACTTTTAACAAAACTGACAAAGTCAGTTGCAATCCCTTTCATTGAGGATGGAAAGAGTAAAGGGCATTTTTTAACAAAGCTTGAATGCTCACTTGACTTCAACCTTTTTTTGTTCTCGTCGAAAATAGTGAATAAGCCTATGCATTGCTTGGGAATTTTCGAAGCTTGTTTGCTTGAGGAAATTTCGACATTTGTCTGCTGTTTCCTCAGCGCTGGTCATCTCATCGGTTTGCCGTATCATTTCTAGAGAACTTTCTTATTCTCAATGTTGGGGAGTAAGGTGTGCATGTATTGTATTTGATTGTATCTTATATATAAAACTGAATGTATGTTGTCTGTCTGTCTGTGTGTACGTATGTTCCGAATAGAAAATTCCATTTCTGAATCGATCGGGACCTAGCTTTGCGCACATACCGTTCCCTGGCGGGTGTCGTAGGCTACCTTTCGTTATCGATCGATATCAATTTTATCCATTTTTTGCAATGTTTGAGCTACGGGGCTGGGAGTTGGAACAGGGGGGTAGGTGAGCATGCTGATTACGAATACACCATCACTTTTTTAGAATTATTCGTCACCCTTATCGATTTCATCGATTTTTTTGCAAAATTTGAGCTACGGTCGGGGAGTTGGCACAGGGGGGGGGGGGGAGGGTAAGCGAGCACGCTGAATGCGAATAAAATAACTGTTTGTAAAAATATCCATTCTTTCCAACGATTTCTTCGCTTTCTTGCAAACTTGGAGCTACGGGGCTGGGAGCTGGCACGGGGGGAGGTGGGAGGGGGGGGGGGAGCATGCTGATCGCGCAAAAGTTGTGTCGTATCATTTATGAGGAACCATAAGTTTTTCTCTCTCAACAAATTTGCACAATATTAATTTTGCTAGATAGAGGCCTTCTCTCTGCGATAGCACCTTTGCTGCTTTTTCATAAGGGGTAGCTCTTGAGATGGAAGCACGAGAATGAAATTATTCCAACCTCGGTCATTCTGTAGGATGCTAAAAATCTAAAAACTTGCAGAATGTCTAGTAAGCAGTATATTAAGTCTTCTAATCTGCAATTTCCAACAGTGCAAAGTTTATCTCTAATGGGCATTTCTGTGAAAAGTTAGAAGCAAGACAAAAGAGCAAATCTGATTATGAGCTTTTTTTTCTAAAATCATAGCTTTTCACAAAAACGCTCATTTGACACAAACTTTGCACTTTTAGAAACTGTGGATCAGAAGAGATACCACACTGCTTGGAATTTTACCGCAAATTTCAGATTTTTAACAGCCTGACTCAAAATAAGCGGGACTAAAGTAATTTTTTTCTTCTGCTTTCATCTTAAAAGCTATCCCTTATCGAGGAGCAGCACAGGAACTATCACAAAGGGAAGGACTTCCTCTATCTAGCGAAATTAACTTTGTGTAAATCCGTTCAGACAAAAATGATGTGACAGAATTTTTGCATCAACCCAATATTTCAAAAGAATTTTTTTTGGAACGCTTCTATAACTCAAGTTTTGGTAAAGGTAGGGTGCTCCAATACATCACATTTCCTCTGTGGGCAAAGGTACCATGAGAATTGCAGGAAAATTCGCGTTGTTTCAGAGGTTTTTGAACTTCCTGCGAGAAAACTATGATGGCGTCTCAAAATAAGAAAGGCAAAAAATATGTTAGTGTCACCACTGTCTTGGTCGCTCGAAGTTGGCATATACGCATTTTTGGCTGGAGGTTACACGATCAGGGCCCGGCACGCGTTGGTTTGGAGCATTTTTAAAAAACGAATTCTCCCCATACGTGTGCAAAGGGGGAACATGGCCTCTCCAGGGTGAAGGGGGTCATAGGGGTCCCGCCTCTCCAGGGTGAAGGGGGTTTGAGGGCCGCTGGGAGGGGGGGGGGGGAGAGCTGCCGCCGCTGTGAAGGTGCGTCGACCGGGGGGGGGGCAATGTTTGTCATCATTGCTTCTCATGTTCTTTTCATTCACATGCATCAAGCGAAATTGTAGCCAAATCAAGTTAAAGTCGAATATTGGGTTTTATCCCCTGAAATTCGGAGAAGAAAAACTGGAATAAGTGAGACTAAGCAATCAACATTCTAAGCAAAATTATAAAACTATTGGCATTATTGAAATCAAATTTAGTGACATGTTGATTCTGAATTTTATTAATATGATCATCAAAAACCTATTTGCAGGCTCACTGAGAAGTACAGGAAACTTGCCGCCTATTGTTCACTTTTAGAGAACGGTGAAAAAGCCTGGAGAAAAATTTACGTGTGAAGCCTTTGTGTATAACGTCAATGAGGTTATTACTCACTATTTGCTGAAATAATAAGTGAAATAATAAATGAACTTTGATGATTGGTGCAAAGTTGAATTGCATTCTTTTTAAGAGGTATAAATTTTCTAGGCAGATGGCGGAATCCGTGAAAAGTCATTGAATGCTTCCTTAAAGAGTCATTGTTCCAACTTTTAATATTATTTCTAAACTCCGAAGAGATCGTAACATTTGCGTAGAGAAGCAGATGCAACAGAGGCACCTGTTACATCCAAGACTTAGTGTAATCAGAATTAGTCTTACTGTCAAAATGTTATAGCTACGAGGATCGTGAAGTTCTAAAATCCGCCTACTTGGACGATGATAGGGATGAGGAAAGCAGCCAGAGATGCATTTCTCCGCCTTGGAGCACTATACAAGTGGCGAAGGACAATCGCATGTGATCACTGCGTGATTATGCTGGAAAAATTTTGTTTCCCATTAAAGAAGATTGAGAAATATAAAAGATCTTAGCAGGAAAACGCAGTCATAATTAGCCTAGCCTAGTTTAGAAGTCTAGTTTCCATCCGCTTTCAGAAAACATACAGCTTGCCAAAAGAAAGAGGAATTTAATTCTGCCGGTAGAGATAGCTTTAGTCGTTTTTTCAAAATTGTAGAATTTTTCTATAAAAATTGTAGATTTTTGATATGAGAAGATAAGAGAGTCTCTAGCCATACATTGATTTACTCTTGTTGAAAGCTTCCAGAAAATATGTAGCTTACCAAGAAAGAGAGGATTTTCCTGTATTGTGAAGGTGGTCGCAATTGTTTTTCTAAAATCAAGGAAGTTTTTTTATAAAAATTCATAACTTTACTATACGAAAAGCTAGAAGAGTGCTTTGCACTCTATTGAAACCCCCTCGTCGTTCGCTTTCAGGAAATATATAGTTTGCCAGGAAAAAAGAGGATTTTCCTATCGGGTGAAAGGGGTCGCAGTCTATTTTCCGGAATTAAGCCAATTTTTAACTTAAAAAAATCATAACAATTTTATATGAGAAGCTGGGAGAGTGATTAGGTGTTTATTGAATTCCTCTCGTCGTCCGCTTTCAGAAAATATATAGGCTGTAGGGAGAGGGATGCTAAAAGTACGTGGTGAAAGGGGAGGGAACATGGTATAATGGGCATGTTCCTTTAGCTCCTTAAAACGACGCTTTTTGAGTATAGAAAGGAAGATTTCCATTATACCATGTTCCCTCCCCTTTCACCACGTACTTTTAGCATCCTTCTCCCTACAACCTATATATTTTCTGGAAGCGGACGACGAGAGGAATTCAATAAACACCTATCTCTCTCCCAGCTTCTCATATAAAATTGTTATGTTTTTTTAAGTTAAAAATTGGCTTAATTCCGGAAAATAGACTGCGACCCCTTTCACCCGATAGGAAAATCCTCTTTTTTCCTGGCAAACTAAATATTTCCTGAAAGCGAACGACGAGGGGATTCCAATGGAGTGCAAAGCACTCTTCTAGCTCTTCGTACAGTAAAGTTATGAATTTTTATAAAAAAAACTTCCTTGATTTTAGAAAAACAATTGCGACCACCTTCACAATACAGGAAAATCCTCTCTTTCTTGGTAAGCTACATATTTTCTGGAAGCTTTCAACAAGAGTAAATCAATGTATGGCTAGAGACTCTCTTATCTTCTCATATCAAAAATCTACAATTTTTTATAGAAAAATTCTACAATTTTGAAAAAACGACTAAAACTATCTCTACCGGCAGAATTAAATTCCTCTTTCTTTTGGCAAGCTGTATGTTTTCTGAAAGCGGATGGAAACTAGACTTCTAAACTAGGCTAGGCATTATGACTGCGTTTTCCTGCTAAGATCTTTTATATTTCTCAATCTTCTTTAATGGGAAACAAAATTTTTCCAGCATAATCACGCAGTGATCACATGCGATTGTCCTTCTCCACTTGTATAGTGCTCCAAGGCGGAAAAATGCATCTCTGGCTGCTTTCCTCATCCCTATCATCGTCCAAGTAGGCGGATTTTAGAACTTCACGATCCTCGTAGCTATAACATTTTGACAGTAAGACTAACTCTGATTACACTAAGTCTTGGATGTAACAGGTGCCTCTGTTGCATCTGCTTCTCTACGCAAATGTTACGATCTCTTTCGGAGTTTAGAAATAATATTAAAAGTTGGAACAATGACTCTTTAAGGAAGCATTCAATGACTTTCCACGGATTCCGCCTTCTGCCTAGAAAATTTATACCTCTTAAAAAGAATGCAATTCAACTTTGCACCAATCATCAAAGTTCATTTATTATTTCACTTATTATTTCAGCAAATAGTGAGTAATAACCTCATTGACGTTATACACAAAGGCTTCACACGTAAATTTTTCTCCAGGCTTTTTCACCATTCTCTAAAAGTGAACAATAGGCGGCAAATTTCCTGTACTTCTCAGTGAGCCTGCAAATAGGCTTTTGATGATCATATTAATAATATTCAAAATCAACATGTCACTAAATTTGATTTTAATAGTGCTGATAGTTTTATAATTTTGCTGAAAATGTTGATTTCTTAGTCTCACTTTTTC